ATCTTTGTTCTTTGATTTGTCACATTGAATTTTCTTGTTTTTATAAGTCTGGCATCATCAGTCCAACGGTTTGGCCCAAAAAATTGTTCACTAATTAGTCACTAAGTATTCACTTAATAGAATCTATTAAACAAACAATGTTTACAGAAATTTCAAAATCATTTACAAAGTGAGATTCCAGATGATTTTGAGATTACCAAAATTAATTCAAGAAAAAACAACAATGGTTATGAAAAATTCTTGCTTGTTCTAACACTTGCAACGTTTTAGACTTGTGAAAATCTATCATTTTGGAATTTAGATTATAAAACTACCCGCACTCAGTAAAAAGAGAAAACAATCGATTATATTACAATCTTAATTGTACTTTTGTCAAAATTATAATCAACGAAGACAAAATGGGCAAACAACAGGGATTTTAAACAATTGTAATCCATTATTATGGATTTTTCCTTTAAAACGAACAATTTAGAAATGCGGATTAAAATAATCACTTATAATCGATTATAATGTATAATAACTGATTGTATTTGATTTCAAAAAGAGAAATTCTAATCGATTATAGTTTGATTAGAAGCGTTTTTTTCTCAATTTTTATAAGACAGGTACTAAAATCATATTATAATTGATTATTAACGCTTGAAACTGGATGCGGGTGGGCTGTGGACAATAGGGTAGAAAACGGTTACGTTGAAATTCATTGGAAACTAATAGAGAAGTCACTACAAAAAAATGACAAATTCTGAAAACCTTCCCTTCTTCGAAGAAACATTTACCTTCTAAATCAAACGTTGGCACTTTCATCCCAAAGTTTCAACTGCATTTTTTCCCAGTTGGAGATTTGTACTGTTTTCATTTAATTGAGATTTTTAACAAGTTTTATCTGACTTTGATACTACTCTGCTCCAGTGGAGCGAAACTGTAAACTGTTATCGTTGTCTTTAATTCATTAATCGTCTTTAAATTTTTCATCGTTTTTACAAAAATAATTGCTTAGTAGTTGAATCGATCCCAAAATCTGTTTGATGGGTCGCGCTAATCGCTATAAAAAATACCTCTAATTTTTTCTGAAAATAATCTAACTGAAATGTTCCTTTCATATTTTAATGCTGAAACCCGGGTCGAGGTGCTCAATTTTTGTTTCGCCTTTCTCGGGCAAAAACTGCTGCGTTACCGACAAATTTTGGTATGTATCGATTTTCTCGACCAAATATTAGTCTGTTTTGATTTTCTCGACCCAATAAAACCAGTTTTTAACTTTTTTGACCCATATTAGTCTGTTTAGATTTTCGCGACACAAATTCGATAGGTTTCGAATTTCTCGACTCTCGACTGACAAATAAAAAAGTTGTTTGTTGGACCCCCCCATAGATATGTTTTGACTTTCTCCAACACAAATGGGTACGTTTTGACTTCTCGACTTTCTCAACAAACAAAAAACTTTCTCGCTTTTTTGTTGGCTGTGGTTGCTCCAAAAACTGTTCAAAAGGTTTTTTTTTGTTCTCTCATTGAAAACACACTCAAATAAGTGTAACACTTTTAACTTAAATATCCAATACTAAAGCAATCATTCTGAAGTGAATTGAGGCAAGCTAGTTAGTCGGTTACGTAGCAGTTTTTAGACGACCGCGTATTCTTACTCGTCAGTGAGCAGGCAAATACTATATCAACCAATCAAAATCAAGACAAGGAAAAAATTTATAAGTAATAATTAATTATTTCGTAAGTTTGCTTTCTCATCTGAATTCTGATTGGTTAATATAGTTTTTGTCTGCTCACTGACGAGTATGAATATGGGGCTGTCTAAATGCAGACTGCACTCCAGATTGGTAGTATTAATTTCATAAACGACTCAAAATTTAAACTTAATATTTGTTTGGGATTATCAGCGCAAAACTCAATTTTGGTCAATGTTTCTCGTACCAGAAACCCTTCGAGACGCAAAGAGCAGTCGATAAATTTCAAGATATAGGAGCAGTTTTTTTCAAGCATTTAGCTTAGAGTTCGCTAGTTCAATAGAAGGTTTCATTGATTTGAGGTCATTTGAATAGATGTCTCAATTTTTTCAGTTTTTCGTTCGCTTTTTGAAGCAAAGGCATAGGCTCGCCAATGCAAACTGAACTTCAGCCTACTGCGGGCAATCTTTTTTTATAAAGAAATCATATTGGGTTACAACAATCTAGAGGCAGAGGACAATATTACACTGCTGCCTTTTGATGTGATTGGTTGCCCCGCATAATCTGTTTATCTGTTTTTCTAAGAGTGGGCGTTCCTCATTCTGTTTTACAACATAACTACAAGGTAGGCTTCTGTATTGCACCTTTTAGGAAGTAGGTGGATCGATCCCATTAGATATCAGGTGTTTGGATGCGCATTTCACAGCACATGATTCTGTTGTCTTCTATCTGGAAAGCAAATGAAAACGGTTGAATGCGTGAACTAAATAAGACTCATTCCGCCTGGCGATCAGAACCCGTTGCGTCAATAGTCAGACGAAACCATTGTTTAATGACATTACTCTTTTTTCCGACATTTTTTCTGAGCTGATAAAAGTTCTCAATTGACAAAAAATTAAATATCGTTTTTTTCTTAGTTTGGGAAAACAAGTAAGTTACGCCGACAACCGTTTTTTTTTGTTCAAAACGTTCTCATGATTTTGCGATTTTTTTTAAGATATGAAGAAAATTACCTCGGTTTCTCATATTTAGCTTTTTTTGCGAACTTCTTTGCCTAAATGGTATGACGGATTCCGGATCAAGTTAACATCTCCCCAAGGCAGTTTAGGGGAAGGATGTTAGCTTGGATCGAATTTTGAGCCAATAAGAATCGAGTATTTTTATGCAGCGCTGGGCCATTGATCCCAGATCTAAGATGTTAACTTGGTCCCAACGAGACCACTTTTACGGTGATTCAGTTCCAAAATTGGAAGGTTGGAAAACCGGACGAACATTAGAAGATGAAAGTGATTGATAGCCACATGTCTTGAGTAATATCAAACGCAGGTAAGCTAACATCTCTTCTCAAAGGAGATGGCCGTTTGAAAAAGACCGGCAGCGCTTTTATATTCAATTTTACGCCATTTTATACCAACTAATTCCTTCGAATACTCAAAAGCTAATTACTTATATTGCATTGCTTGAGGTTTCACAACCAACAACCAGGCAAGCACCATATGCATTTGATATATTTTTTACTCCGACCAAGACTAGCGAAAGAGAGAGAGAGAGAGAGAGAGAGAGAGACGGGGATAAAAAAGTAGTGTAATAAAATTTTGGCCACTTTCCTCATGCGCAATGGTGGAGTGCCAGTGGTTGCTCTAGTGGCGGCGGGGATTGCGGCGGAGACACAGTTAAGTTGCAGAAAAAACAGCGACGAGGAGCGGTTGCATGGCCTTATATCATATCCGTATGGTCTAGAGTATATAGTTCTAGCTACATGGATAACCAGAAGTAAGCGGCGCCGCATAAGCATAGGAGCGTAATGCAAGCCAGGACAGAAAAACAGAGAGAGAAGGGGAAGACAGAGAAGTCTCGCTTATCCCCCTGCACCAATTCCCTTCCATCTATACCATCATACATAGCATCGATATACCATCTATATTATATGGTGCTACCAGCTTACCATCCCATGTAATACCATATACACTTCATCATGTTCGTTTAGCTAAAAATCAGAAAAAAAAAGAAATAGAAAAATTATATATATATATATATATATATATATATATATATATATATATATATATATATATATAGAACTAAACCAGCTACATGATGACATTATTACATAACATAACATTTATATCATCCACCGCGGCGCTGTTTATGTTATATCAAACAACAGATATCTGCCATTAAGCAGTACAGCACGCACTTCACAATCCCCCCAACCGTCTATTAGCCAAAAGGAGCTTAAAATCCATGTTGCAATTCTACTCCTCTTGTAAGGTAACATACTACCGACTCCCAACAGGCGCTGATTATTAGTCTGTATTTTTATTTTATGAAAAAAAAACCTGAAAGAAGCACAAATTATGAATTATAACTGTCCCGTCTTCTTAAATTCTAAGCCCTTTTTCCGCCATAGCTGGGTCCTTTTTTAATTCTACAGCTCTAACTCTATCCTCCCTGATACTCGTTGTGAATTTGAAACCAGAATTGAAAACTGAGACTCGTTCCCCGGGGTAAGACAAAACCATCACTTATCCCTTGACAGCATACATTACAACATGCAGTAGTCTAATCTAATCCCTCCTCGCCCCACCCCTTATTTTACTACTTTTTCACCACTTTTTCAATCCAATTCCTCTTTTGCAACTGTGCTTGCAACCAAAGACATTAACTCTTTCCAAAGTCGCTTCTCATTCTCAACATCTCGAGTGAATTTTTTCTTCATTTGAAAAATAACTTTCAACCTGTCGCTCCCCGTTTTGTTCACTATTCTTCAACCCTATTCAAGTTCAGAAAAATAAACGCAGGCATCATTTTTACGAACTCATTCGTAAAAAAGTTTAAACTGAACTACTTTTTTCAGTTCGTTTAAGCTATTGTTAATTTGGTTTAATTACAAGAAACAAAACTTACTAAATTAGTTGAATTGTACGATTATATTTCGAATTTAGAATGAGAGCTTACAGTTAATTTGCCTGATTTTACGGTTTCTTGTTAAACTTTCGTCCCATTCTCTGGAGTTGTAATTTAAGTAACCACACTAAAATCGAAAAGTTTCTCGTCAAGGGTAAGCTGTTGAGACGCCGAGCGTCCTTCTCAGAAACTCCCATCATGACTCATGTTCCACATACTATTTTTAATTAAAATTGAAGAGTGCGTTTTGAATTAAATTGTTAGGGGCTTTTCGAAATCCTCAAAATCTGAAAGTGCGGATTAAAATATTTGTAATTAGGTACAATTGAGCTCAATGGGAAAACTTATTTTGAAAACCTTTGAGATATTTGCCCACGGCTTTTTTGATGTACAACATTTACCAGCTTTGTTGTTTAGAAGTGGGATATCATCACATGATCAAACGAGTACCAATTTCCTCGCCCACGATTCTTCAGCAGATTCGATATAGGCCAGTACATATGAAGTATGATGACCTTATTAGTCTCCGTGGTTCATCTTTGGTCTCAGGATGAATGAAGGATTCAACACTTTGATTCACAGTTCTCGCCAAAATTCGTCAATTACGCAATTCAACTCACCGACCGACCGAAACTGCTTCTCACTATATAGTTACCCTGGTCACTTATCAGGTGAGATATATTTCAATCGATTGTATGAAAATACGAAATTATGGTTTTTTAACTGTAAAAAAGCGATCCAAACATTTAGGGGGCATTTAGGGGGCATGATGGGAGGGGGTTCTAACAAAATTTCCAATCATTTGTTATATAAGGTCAATTAACGTTTTAAAAATGTCTCTCAAGTGAAGTAACTGGCCAGCAAGGACTCGAAAACTTAGTTCCTGATCTGAGGAAATTGGTCTGAAAAACAAAAAAAGATCAGATAAATTTTTCTCGATATTCAGAAAAACGTTTTTGATTTTTTTTCGAAATCCGAATCACGTCTAAAATTCGATAACACAATTGAACAATTGAAAAACTATATTAGCTTGATTAAACTCTATATAATCACTGAAAAACCTGACTGCTTTTGAATGACGATGAAAACAGGTATTAGCAAAGTGCTTAACAAAGTGCAAAAAAAATTTAGAAGAGTTCCATTGCTTTATATTTTTGACTTTCATGTTTTAGCAAGAAGCAATATTTTTTGCGTCTGGTAATGGACATTTAAGAAAAGATTATTTATCTCAATTCAAGTGAAAGAATTTTTATTGCCGCTTTCACTTAAGAAGGGAAAAATAAATTGCGCGTAAATTATCCCAATCGTATTATAGTGGTCAAAGTAGTCCCAAAATTTTCCTATAACTTTAAAAAAAACAATCACATATTTTCATATTCAGCAGAAACAATCAACCTCGCGGGTTGAAGCCTAAGAAATAGCCATCAAATAGCCACATATCATGAGACAGTGCTGCAGCTGTAATGTTGATAAACACGTGGCAACTGATCAGGGCTTAAAACAGCGATGAAAATTTTATGCACTTTGTTTTTCTGTTTTAAGAAGGCAATTTTAAATAGAATTGTTTCCAATCAAAATTTCCATTGATTGAGTGATTAGAATCAGTAGAATTGAACTGATAAAAATCGCTTCCTGTTTCATAAACATCAGCTCCATTCAAACCGTAAACATCAACTTCCAAGGTGGGCGGTACTTCTGTTGCATTGAAGTCATCTTCATATCCCTATTCTGCACTGATGAGGTCATGTTCGAACAATTTATAACAGCTAACAGACAAATGGTAGAATAATAAATAAAAGACAAAAGGGAAAAAAAGAAATATCTATTCAAATTAACTGATGTCCATCAAGCGCGCTTCAAAAATTGTTTGCTCACACAATCATGCGTCGGTCTCCGATATGATGAACGGGATCCACGGATACACATGATCGAAGATCTGAGAAGCGCAAATCCAAGAAGACATCAAGTCTACGAAAGCACTTGGCTATACGAAGTTATTTCTTTTTTCTCACTGATCATCGCAAAATTCAGTCAACATTTCTGCTGTTATGTTTTTCACTTGACGAAACCGAATAGCCGGAAAGCCTCCAGCAGGGCAAGACAGGCAATGCTCAACCGAGAAAATTTTTCCACAAACACAATGAGAAGGGACACCTTTCAGTGGCCAATTATATCGCAAGCACAAGGCATCCCGTAACGCTGCTTTGTTCAGGACAAAAACCATGTTCTTCTAACGACAAGTTTGTGTGCCAGCTTGACGCGCCTCTTTCATTTGTCAGTTCAAATGCTTCTGAGTATGGCGTGACAAGCGACTACAACAGAGCAACTTTTTTTCTTTCGGCTCACCGTTCGCTCTCCTTCTGTTTTGAATAGATGCTCATTTCTGCCTAATTGCAACTCCGGCTAAATCATTATTGCTTGACAAAAGATTCTCAGCAACAGGTTTACAGAGTCACTCATAGTCTTTGAAATTCTGAGCGGCGTCTGTTTCTGGATTGATAGTGTTCAAACCACCCAGTCTTGCCGGAAGCTCTAGCACAGATCTTTCAATGTCTTCTGGTGATACTCTACCATTCAGCTTTGGCAAGAACTGCGTTCTGATTTTGCTTTCGCGTTTGGTGAGAGTATTTTTAGTTTCACTTTGGCGACAGCCGATCACTCTCATCGTCTACTTCACTTCGGAATGAAACTATGCGTAAAAGCTGCAAAAGTACAGTGTGGTTGCGTCTCAGCGATGTGAGATAAACTCTCAAGTCCATTTATCTATCCATTTCACTTTTTGAGAACACGTTGTTCAAAGATTTTTTTTGCTGCTAATAGGGCGTCATAAATTTTTGTGTCCTTCTGAAAGAATTATTATACCACTTCCTGCGAAAAGACGTTCTGCAAAGTCCACGTGGTCACGTTTAACAATAAGCTCAGTCTTGGAAGTAGTCGGGAAATACCCATGCTCCGGTCTGAGTTCTTTCAACGCTTCCCACCATAAGTTCAGTTATTCAAGTTTTCCACCTGCAGCAGAGTCATTGGCATGCCAAAATTGCTTAACAAGGTCATGGAGTCATTCAATGAGAGAACAGAGCTATACCACACATTGACATCAGTCTATCAACAAGTTTGCAGGCTTGTAAAGGTTGGTGAGAAAAGTGGTCATAGCTTAGCACTCATTATAATTTTTGAATAAAGCAAGCTGTTTTGTTGAGCTCATTAAATGCATTGCTAGCATCACCCAGCAGCAGTCTTTCAGTTTCGAACTCAATAAAACAGACGTGAGAGCTGAAACCGTTGCCTCGCAAGACGACCGTTGGCCAGCACACAGTTGGGACGTCCCAGTTGCACCAGCGGTACGAAATGTGCTCTTGGAATTGATTCAGCGTGCATCTTCTCCAATGCCATTTTATCTGATACCTAGATTTTCTCCAAACGATTGAGACGAGAAGCGTTTAATGCATGCACTCCCTAAAGATTTGCTACCGAAGTATCTAGTTTACGAGATGCCATGGTCAATGCTTCTCACAAAATGTTATACTTTTCAACAAATACCATACAAAAGCGTTTACAAAGCAAAGCATCGGCGCCAGAGGGTCCTGCTGCTTCAAATGGGTTCCGAGCACACCGGCGACTCTAATAAGAGTTGAAACTATCAAAAATAACAGCAGAATGGAAAGCTGTGTCTGATAATTCTTGCGTCTGTGGTAAGTCTGCTGATTTGGTGAACTCACGAGATGCAGGGTGTTTATCTTTCAATGCTTCACAAACAGATAGTTTCACGGTGTGCTCACGTTAATTTTCATCAATTTTTTTTTCACTTCTGTCAGATCGTCCAATTTCAGAACCTCAGTTTCCCCCCACTGAGCAATCGCATAGCACCTATCATTTTTCCTTCCATCATGAGGTTAGCAAACGAGCAAGCAAGTTTATCTTAAGGAACTTTGTTATTCATGAGACGCAGCTTACTTTGAACAAACGTACCTTTCTTCAGCCGTTTCTTCCTTCAATTTTTTTTTCAAATTGCCACTTTTCTGCGCTTGAGATGTAGAATAAGGTTTTTGACTTTGTGCAAATATTCTGAAGAAGAAGTGGTGGCATGAGCCTTGCTGTCTGAATAGCAATAAGTTCATTACAAGAATTCTCAACAAATGCAAAAAACCATTCTGCCATTTCTTCAACGAGCCGGTTTTCTTCAGCACCTAACGGAACTTGAAACAAATAATTTGGTTTCCAATCAGCACTTTCTCATACAGTTCATCGATGACTTCGCACTTTTCACAAGGTTGTGTTCTTGCCACATACAATCAGCATGTGAGGTCAAGGGTGTGTAGTTTGGTAATTTACGATAAAATGACATCTCTAAAGCACTTAACGAAGACAAATTTCCCATACTTCGAGTTGAACTACTGCTTACATTATGATGCTCGATATCAAGAAGCTCAGTGGAAAGTTTCTTTTGTTGCCGGCAATGTACTGAAGATTCTGTTGTTGTCAAATTTTGCATTGGTTGTTTCAAACCAGTCTGCTTTTGTTGAGAGTCACTATCATCGAGCTCTTCTGTATCATCAGTCTCATCAATGAGTCGAAACTAGGTCGGAGGACGTGTATGTCTACTTCTTTTCCTGATCACCCGACTGCGATTTCAACTATAGCCTGAAACTCAAGTTGTTGCAGACCTTCTTCTAGCACAACCAAAAATTGATCATTATCTAACGCTCAACAAATTATAACCACAACAATCATGAAAGCCAAATAGAGCACGTGCAATTCTGAATGATGGAACTATATTTTATACTACTGCCTTTTATACCACTGAATGAGTAAGATTTTAGGGATACGACGGTTGAAAAGTTTTCTAAGTGGCTAAAAGTCTGTAGACTATGGGCCTCATTCCCGTTAAGAGCTTTTTTGCATTTCAACTATGACTCAGAGATAATCGGTACTAGAGTTTTCGTACTGACTCAGAAAAGGTTTAGAACTGATCATGGTTTTCAAAACTGATCATTTCATCCTTTCTCTTCAAGCCAAACATTCAGGTCAGCTTTTTTGACACTAAGATACTTATAATCAGATATGTGCATGAAGTATCATTATTTTCACTTTTTGATCTTTGAAGTGTTCGGAACAAATAAATCTAGTTTTTCTAAAATAAATGCTAAATTCCTATGATTGGACAGCTAAATAGCTGTTCACGCAAGAGAAGTAAGCATTATTTTGCGAAAAAAATGAGTTTAAAGATGCTTAATGCAAAAGTTCTAGAAGAAAAGTCTCATTTTCAAGAAAAACTGGCTGGAATGTTTCTGTTTTTAGACAGATTTTCAGCGGGGAAGTTGATCGGATAAGAAAATTAAAAGCGTCAGCTTTCCACCGTTTTTTGTCGATACTTTTGTTTCGACTTTTGTAACGAAAGTAACATAATATTTGTGCACGTGGTTTTTTTTCTTCAGACAAATTTCGACGTTTTAACTAGCCATTTTTGACGGAGTTTTTTAAATATCATTCGAAAGGTATTGTGGTCCTGAGCTTAAATTTGAAAAGATACATCACCTGTGATTTTTTTGAAAAGTTATGGGGGTCTAAAGATTGCCATTTCGGCCAATTTGGGACAATTAACGCGCGATATATTTCGCGCTTTAACGCGTAAGCGTAGATCTAATCCGCCCTGGAAATTGTTCCAAATTGG